TATTTCTCCCAGTTATGTTTTTGTGTGCACTGAGGAGTCTCAAACAGGCGTTTGTTAAATCATTTTAAGATTGGCTTTAATCAATGTTTGAAAATGAATTCTTCATATATGATAAATGAGAGATAACATTTTATTTATGGTATTATTTCCACATATTTCTCTCCATTCTTCCTTCTGCCAACGGTGTCGCAGTTTCTCGTCTCTCCCGTTTTTGTGCTTAGTGCGTACGCATGGGTTAGTTTGCGTAGAGGACCGCACGTTTTCCCGTCAAGTTAGTATTTTATAAATCGCAAACATTGCGTAGAAACTGCCGTACTCCATTTTTTGAGCGTATATCCCTTTTATAAATGAGGCCCCTGAGCATTTTGAATAAAAGGAAACAATTGAACAAGGTATATCTCAACATTTTACAAAATAATAAGCAAAGCATCCAAAAGTCTGTCCCATTTTTATTTTTTTAAAGCAATAAACTAAGAAGGTTATTCTGCCTAAAACTTGTGTCTAAAACAGTGCCTGAGCCCTGAAAGAGGCTGCTTCCAAATCAAAAGGCAACAAGGCTTAGTATTGTACTGCCCAGAGGCTAGTGTATATGAGAGAGAAGGAGAGTCTGTTTATGTCCAACCTTGAGGTCTGTCAGTGAGGTTAATAAAGAAGCCTGCCCCCTCTGGTATTTCTGGTATGCACCTTTCTCCTACACACAAAAACACACACACAAACACAAACACACACTTCTTGTATCCCAGCTCTGTCCTAAAGTGCTATGTTGTATGCCAGTCTTTTCCCAAAAATGTTTTACTGTGCATTATTACATTTTCTTGAACGACATTCTGACCTGGAGGATGGTTGTCTTGCTTTTTAAGGGCTTTCTTTATAGATAAATAAAACTCTAACATCAGCAGGATAAACTCTAACTGCTGATGTCCACCTTGTGAAGAACATGTTGTATGTCTCTTACTGTAAGTGAGAACTTATCAACTCTTCTGTGTCGCCCAAATTTGACAAACGATCCTTCCCAGGGCAAAGAACAGGAGCACACCTTTGTCTTCAGGATGGACCACCCTAAGGCCTGTAAGCACCTGTGGAAATGTGCCGTGGAGCACCATGCCTTCTTTAGGCTGAGAGGGCCGGTACAGAAGAACTCAGCCCAGTCCGGATTCATCCGCATGGGGTCACGCTTCAGATACAGGTAACAGACAGATGTACAGGCAGATCAAAGGTTTAAAGATGCTTTTGAATTAGGCACTTTTTGTTTTCTTGCGCAAGTAAGTACAAAAGGTTTGGGATATCTTTTTGTATAAAATACACAGGGCTTATTAAAGTTATCTTGCAATATTTATAGGGGCCCTATTATACTGTTGGGGTTCTCCCTTTCCTGTAGTGTGTTATAGGTTATTGTCCATGTAAATGGTCTGCAAAGGCGTCTCTTGAGCTGTATCTTAAAAAATTGTTGTGGACTGCACATTCTGAGCACAAGTGACCTAAAAAGAGACTAGTTGAGATAAGCGTGGAGAACAAATGCTGCTGGGATTGCTTTAAAGGGGGAGGGTAGGAGGTGTGGAGATGGGTGTGTTGAATGCTGATAAGTTGAATGCTGATAAGTTAAATGCCACAGAGAGCCGTGTGTTTGTTTCTGTACTGTCTCAACCTACAAACAAAGATAATCCTAGTTTGATGTGTAAAAAAACAAGTGCGTACACACAGATACTTGCATTGGTACAAGACAGGCACTCAATGTCAACATGCTGCTGCGGCCAGCTAGCTCCCTTCTGTGTGTTTAAACCCAGTTTGGATTAGCATTGGCAGTAATGTTGGTTTTACACAGAGGTTACAGGGTTTTGTTGTTTATAGATGGTTATCGCTCTGATGGGTCCGGAGTTCACCAGGGGTCAATGCTGGGCCCTTTTTTTTGTTTTTACTTAACAAAGAATAATAAGAAAATGTCTGTTGCATTAAATTCTGCATTGATCAGGCTTACGATTATAGTGTTAATATATTTTTTTGTTTGTGTTTCCAGTGGAAAGACGGAGTATCAGACAACCAAGGGCAATAAAGCGAGGCGGTCAGCATCTTTCGAGAGAAGGCCCAGTCGACGTTACTCCAGAAGAACCATGCAGAACAGAGGTGAGGACAGCACTCAAACTCACTCCTGCAAAGCTGTGTATATAACAATATCAAAACGTAAAATATATTACATGACAAGCACTTGTTAACATACTATCAACTTATACTGTGAGATATTACCTTTCTGTATATTTATATTTTAGAATCTTTCTGAACTGTCTGTTCTTTGTGTTTTCACAGGACCTTACCATCCCCAAGAGTGAGTACACTGATATTTAAACAATGTTACCATGCCATTTCATGATAAAATTACCCTACTCTTATCAATTGTTGTAGCATCTTTGCTGTGTAGTCCTGTTTTTAAAATAACATTGTAAAGTCAAGCACTGGAAAACACTTAGTCAAAGGTCATATAACAGTTTCTACAGTGCTTAACGTGCTGTAACTCACACACAAACAAACACTGGCTCAAGGAAAACCTGGTAAGTTGTAAAAGTAGTGTAATGGAAAAAAGTATTGTCATTACATTTGAACATCTATGAAAAAGCATTGTGGGAGATTTAAAGAGACCTTCATCTTTTATGTAATTCATAATTCTTGCAAAGTGTTTACAATTTGTTCTTTGAATAAAATCTAAATGTCTTTCTTTGCTCAGGATTCTCACCTCTGGCAATGGCTTCAGCTCCAGCAGAGTAAACAAGGTGAGAAGCAAGATTCCCGTGTGTATTCAAATCCTTACTCCATTATACAGAAAACTAACATTTCTGAGTTACAGAAAATCAGAAATGAGACCCAAAGTATCAAGTAAAAATCTAAATTGAAGTAGGATAAAAGGCCAGTAATTGTAGATCTTTTACAAATAATTATTTTGTATGACTAGTGCCAGCTAACATAAAAAAGTGTAGAACTATCTATGACAACTTACAATGAAAAGTATAATAATTCCTTCCCTTTTCTCAACATTTTCAATACCTTCCAATCTGATCCTTCTTTGTGACAATCACTTCTACCACCTCTACCATCCTTACTCTCTGACATATGTTTTATTTTTCTTTCCGCCTGCAGGCTCCCATTAGAGGTGCACGGTCAGCTGTGCCTGCGGTCAGCCCTGTAGCTGCTTCTGCCTGTGCACCCATGGAAATCGAGGCTCTACCCAGAAGTCCTGGAGGGGAAAAGCGGAGGTTGGTACCGGATTTCAGAATCAGTTATTTCCAAAGCCTGCTTATTTTTTGTTATTTTCTAAACTTGCTGACAGTGGCTCCATAGCGAAGTGTGTTTTTCATGTTCTAATGACACAAGAGTGGCTTAACATGGCTTATCCACTGACCCTGTCTTGCTGTGACTAGGGAACACACGGAAGAAAGAGAGGAAGGCAGACACAGAGTATTTGTGTGTTTTTGTTCTATTTCCTACCTGCACATCTCTTCCATGCGTAGCGGTTCTATTTAGAAGTCCAAGTCATTGCATTCACTTGTCACGCATCATGTACGTTGAGGTGTTCTCGGATAGGTTATGGCATGCAGAAGGGATCTTTATGCATGGGTCTGCATTTATGGGTCTTGCTTGGTAAAGTACAGCCGTATCAGATATTGAAATTCATAAGTGCAATATTTAGCCAGGTGGCATATTCAAGCTAAAGAAAGATGGATGCAGTTAATATTATTATTTAGATTTGTATAACACTTTCAACCGCTATCTACCCCGTGTGTGTGTGTGTGTGTGTGTGTGTGTGTGTGTGTGTGTGTGTGTGTGTGTGTGTGTGTGTGTGTGTGTAATCTAATCTATGAACTCTCCTCTGTTATAAACCTGCAATGTCCCCCTGTGTGTTCCAGTATTAACATGTAATGAGGACAGAATGGTCTTGTGTGGAACAGGCCAGGTAGGTACCAACGAACCTCGCCATCGCTCTGGCTTTAACCAATCAATTGCTGTGCAGTGTCGGGCTTTCAGATTTTTTGCTTGGAAAAGGGTTTTCTTGCGATGGAATCGTCTCCTGTGATTTGCTGTCTTGTCCGCTTTTGATCAGCATGAAATGCCAAGCTAACGGGTGTTGGTAATATTATGATTAATTTTTTCGGGTGCTGTGCTGGGTTCTTGCTACTTGCGTCTTTAATCAATGACATGACATGATTTCAGCTTTGGATCTGTTCAGTTGAAGGCTTTGGTGGAATGAAGTTTGTAGACGTCTTTACTTTCAGTTATCTTATGTCATGCTGTGCATCCTGTTAACCATCTACCTGCTCATATTTAATCAGAAGTTATCTTTTTGCCAATAAAAAATGTTGCCAATAAATGTACAGCCTATATAATTAGTGATGCTAAAGCATTACCAAAACAGATTTTAGATTTACGCTGGTAAGAAAACATGACGTGTTTTTTTTTCAGTATAAAGTAGTCACTCGTACTTCCCGATAAGACTTATCAAGCTTCTAGGGAACAAAGCTAATTCAGATTTACAGCTCAGGCTGATCCTGTTTCTAGTAAAGAATATTTCTGTTATGCTAAGAGGATTGCCAGTTATAGGAGCAGGAGCCTTTTCTTTGTTATGTATTAACCTGAGAAACAGGATGCACAGATATGACCTTGGATCGAGCCGTGCATAGAGAGATCGATGACCTATTGCAATGTTTTTTCTGTATCCTCCTCTTAGAATTTGTAGCTCGAAGGTTAAATGGTAAATCCTAAAGGCTACAGAGATATTTATCTTAGTTGTCAGGAAAAAATATGAATATTTGATTACATTTTCATTGACACAACATTCAGGGTGTGTGTGTGTGTGTGTGTGTGTGTGTGTGTGTGTGTGTGTGTGTGTGTGTGTGTGTGTGTGTGTGTGTGTGTGTGTGTGTGTGTGTGTGTGTGTGTGTGTGTGTGTGTGTGTGTGTGTGTGTGTGTGTGTGTGTGTGTGTGTGACACAACAAGTGTTAAGAGTTGTTTACACTGATAAATAAATAAAAAGTCTCACAATGTGGCAGCAGTTACAGGGGACAGGAGGAGGATGCTTTGAAAGAGACTATACCGCTAATATCTGCGACTAATTCCTGGTGCTCTTACCTTTCTCATTCCAATCCTTTCTCCCTTTCTTTAATTACATTGTGTCACTGTTCCTGCATGCATCATTATAGCCCTTGGCTGTTACATATTCTCTATCTCCCTCTCTGTGTTACTTCAACTGTACATGACACAAATGAAAATAATTACTAATATGCTTAAGCCTATACAATTATGATATGATGCCTTTTATACTTATAATATAATCCAAAAATAATATAAAAACAATTATGAAGCATGATGAGGGGGTTAATATTTCAGGAATTACATCTGAATGTAATGTTCTCTTAATTAAATTGAATGTGAAAGGGGAACACTCAAATGTATCAAAAAAATATATATATACTAGCATGTCTTTTTTGCCTAGGAGCCATGTGCCACTATAATTGGATCAACCTTATCTCACCAAATTTTAATTTTTCTTTAACTAACATACCACTTCATCTCAGAAAAGATTCAAGTTATTTTTCCCAAATGTAAAACTTAGTCTGAATATTGCCCCCATCATACTGGTTCTGTACTTTAATGTTTTGTACCTAGAGTGGCCCTTGTATGCCGTCGTAGCAAACGGCTGTATTACTTTGTCATGTAGTGCTGCGTCTGTGTTTGTTGCCGTCTCTCTGACCCTTTCCTCACTCTCTTGCAAACTGCTCCACTTCTATATCCTTCACTATGCCATTATAATAAGTGAGTAGATCACTTTACATTAATGCCTTTGGAATAAGTTCATCACATTTTAATCTCCATTGCTAACGAGAGGAAATGGGAACATTTTAAAAAGGTCAATCTAAGTTCATCCCCCGTAAATCTAGTCAAAGATCATTGGGTTAGTCACTGTTTAGCGGTGGAAATGGGAAACTGTATGCTCCCTTGCCTCTTGTGTTCCCAGTGGAGCTGTCATCATGAATAACAGCTTCTGGCTCAGGGCCTCCAGCTCTGAATATATAAACGCAGTTATGACATAGGCCATCAGCTGCCAGAGGTGCAAAGCCAGGCCACTGATGCTCCAGAGACACCCAGTCCACTTCACTCCGCTCAAGTGTGCAAGTCACACTTGTCAAAGCACACTTAAATGCACGCCAGAGCACAGTGTAACTGAATAAATGTACCATAAGTTACATGTCTTCTACAGTAACCTGACACGCCGAGCTTATCACGACCGTGAACACCTCATTTATTTATTCATGCTGTGTTATGCCCTCTAAAATAACATTTTGGTTAAGTTGTAGTACAACAATGAAATGATTTCCTATGTTAAAATTAAAGGAGCTCCTAAAATAATTATAGAAAATCCAAACCCAGTTTATTTCCCAACTTATAAAATATTGACGCTCAGTCAGAGGCTATCACCGTCTGGTACAGGGGAACTTTTTAGCGTCTATATGAGAAGTACTGGGCCTTTAACTGACTCCAATGTAAACCAGTCATCATCATTATTAGACAGTTGAAGCAAAATACTTTTAAGTGCGAGAAAATCAGGAACGCGTGTCATGTACCAATATCACAACAATCTTTTCTTAAGCCTAACACTTACTTACTAAACATTTAGTTACAAAACTAAAGTCCTTTTTCTTTCCAAAATGATCTTTTACCAAGCCAAACACTTGTGATGGCCTAATCCTAACCAACACCAGCGGAAATTGACTCAACACAACCAAAACTGATGAATCACAATTTAAAATGCACCACTGATCAAACATTGAAATTGACCAGATGGGAGTGAGAATGTGCTTCTTTAATCTTTAAAGATGAAAAAGGTTGTCTAAATGTCAAGCCATATGCAATGAACTACACTTTAAAGAACCAAGCTTTTCATCAGCTACCTCACAAATCTCTTCTCCTGCCTCTCTGCTGTTCCTCTTTTCATGTCTTTCTTTATATCTGAGTTACACAACGTATGTCACTGTTATCTCTCCCACCTTAATTTGCATACAATCAGCTTCTCTTTGCTGTTTTCATTCAAAGCTACCCTTCCTTTCCCACGCCAGTATTGCTTTCCAGTTTACTGTACCTACACTCAACCCCCATCTCGTTACACCCCCCTCCTGTTTGTCCACTTCCCTCCACCCTGTTCTCCTCAGGTCTCCTCTTCCCTCCACCCTTCCTGCTCATATGTCTCATCAAAGCTTCCAACATGAAGTCAGACAGATCCGAAGAGAAGACAACGGTCTCACCCTTTGTACTGACATGAAATGGATGGCATACTGATAAATGTGCTCAGCGGGGACTCACCCTTGAACAAAACGTGTGGTATTGGTGGTTGTGACCGTACCACATGGAAGGAGACATTTGTTGTGAATGAAGCCGTGCCTTATTTACTGAAACATTCCTCAAAACAAACAAACTCAGACTCTCTCATCCCTTTCTGAGTACTCGTTTCTTCCTCTTACTTCTCCTACGTTCTCCATAGAGTGGTGCAGGAATGAGTCATTTTAGCACTTCCAGTTCACTCGTTTTATCAATGCGTTTTTGGTTGGATGCCAGAAAATAAGGGCTGTGGTTAACACAAACCTAAGTACATTTAACGGTGTATTCTATGACAAAAGTGATGTCAGTAAATACTCCTTTGGTAAATCTCAAGCTTGTGTGTGTGTCTTTTAAAAGCGGCTAACGAGGACTAGCAAACATTGTCATGCCGAACATTAGCTTTCTTTAGCTTAGCGGTCAAAGTACATGCGACTGATGACGTATTGTTTGTAGATGTAAACATTAGCCATTTACTTCTGGCAATTGTATTTGCACTTTAACATCATAAAAGCATTGTTAATATATGGAGATTATGCTGCCGAACAAAATGTGCAAGTATCATAAAAGTGTGTTTGCCAAAGATCTTATTTTTTGCCACGTTTAGAAAATTCAATAGTAATAACCCCAATGCTTTTCGTCCAGCCCTTTGCAATGCTGACTACAAAAATAAGTCGTCCCTGCACCACTTTATTGATTCTCCTTCTACACATCCTTTCTGTCCTCTGCCCTTCACTCTTAACCCTCATGGTGAAACCAGCCTGCTGGGGGGGAATGGTATCGATGCCAGGCTTAGGAATTCTACTCCACTCTGCAAGGAAACAATAAGTCACATAGTTCCAGGAAGGTCTAACTAAGCCCTCTTCTGTTCTCATTGCATTTCTCTCCAAATGAGTTTTGTGTTTCTTATAATATTCCAAACACTGTCGCTGTTTTCATTTTTAATTCGCTCATGAAGTGATTTATTTTATTTGTTTTAGTAAGAAAATTTGATTTTCTCTATTTTGTATTTAATCTGATCTGCACATTTCAAGGATCCGCTGCTCTGTTTTAAATGAAAGTTGGATGAGAAGGTTCATGTGTTTCTTAAATTGTAAGCTTGGCGCAAACCAAAACAAGTGAAGCAGGTCAACAGAGTTGTTTTGGCTCTGTCGAAGGTGCTTTTCCAAAGAATCTGAATGTATTAAGTTTGCACATTGTTTCTTGTGTTTTGAACACATTTTAGAAATGCTTGAAGAGGCCTTTTGGAAATAAGCAGTTGCTCCATGCTTTAAGCTAGCCTTAAAGCCCTATTATGCTCTTTGGGTTTTTCCCTTCCCTGTAGTGAATGGTCTGCAAAGGCTAAGTGCCCTAAGTCCCCCCCCCTCACCTGAAATGCCATGATTGTAGTCCTTTTTTTAATTCTGTAACATAGTGAAATGACTATGTAACACTTGCGCTTCTATTGGCTAGTGCTCGGACACATTGTACGTGATATGCGGGACATCTCCAAGTGGTTGACCAATCATAACAGCAGACTGGTCTCTGGTTTCAGACAGAGGGTGAAAAGAGGTGCTGAAGCACAGGCAATGTGAGAAAAATTCAGACTTTTCTGAACATTAGAGCATTGAAACATGTCACAGCAGAGGCACAACATACTAATATGAACCTGAACATGAGCATAATAGGGCCATTCAACCTATCCTGGACTTAACACTCAGGAATGTAATTATCACCGACCTTCTCATCCAACTTCTTCCGAGACATCAAACAAGCATAACTCCGTTAAGATGGTTGTAAGTACCGGTATATCAAAATCAAATGGAAATTATTTATCTACTGTAATTTGTGAACACAACTGCAATGATGTTGGCATAGTTGGGGGAGTTACTATAATAGCCCAGCCACTAAGGTACTGTTGGGTTTGTCTGAAAAATCTGTAGAAGGAATCACTTAATGCTTACCTACCGTACAGCTCAACTATTCCACTGTTAGTTTTTTTTATTGCACAGTTCAACCAATGAAGATGATTTTGTATTATTATTGTTTAGTTTAATGTTAACAACATAACTCTGACCAAAGGATGTTTATCTTACTGAATGTTTGAGAATAAAGACAGGATTATTCTTGATATAGGTAAAGTATGTAGCATTTGATTTACTTTTATAACGTTATGCTACTGTATACACACTGTTAGAGAACGATAACCAAAGAAATGACTGATGTCTTCTTTCTTTTGCTGTTATTCAAGTTGTACCCGAGCTATTTAACACATAATAAATATGATTCAAAATCTAGCCACATGAGGTGGGTTGGTATATTGATGCTTTCGTATAGCACAATTAGAAAAGAAAAGCATACACAAGGCTACTAGGATTTTACGTGAGAATACAATGGAGACTTTTACTTTAAATAGTCCCTATTGTGCTTTTTGGAGTTTTCTCTTTCCTGATGTGTGTTATATATGTTTGTGTGCATGTAAACAGTCTGCAAAGGCTAAAATCTTTTTGGTAACTTTTGGGGTATTTAAGAACATATTGATCTCCCAATGAAATCCCTGTTTTTGTAACCTATTACTTTAAATACATTTAAGAACAATGCATTGTGTGTTTTGCTAACATAAGCGTTGGATGCATCCTCACCCTTTCCTTCATGGATACCTTAACATGTGGGAGTGTTTATATATACATTCTATTTGTGAGTCTTCAGGCAACACATTTTACTTTTCCTCACATCTTTGTGTTTGCTGTGCTTTAGCTCATGTTCTCCACAGGCAGTAATATAGTTCTCATGTTTCACCGTGTCTTCGGGCTACAGAAATATGAGGTAATAAGTACTGCGCTGCTGGAAGAGCTTCCACCGTAATCCATGTATCGGATGTTTCGCTTCGGGTCACTTCAAATTCTGAGGATATTACACCACTTTTTTCCTTCTAAAGTTATTGCTTTCTCTGAAGACTTATTTCCAAGTACTGAATCATGCTTCTTAAGAAAACCTTCTTCAGAAATGTTATTTTCTTTCTCTCGACACACATTCTCATATGTTTCTGGTAGAAAGGACAGTAATTACTTTATTTTTGTACTTCGTTGTTTTCCTGTCGCATTTTCAGGATTGTGGGATTGTCTTGCCAAAACAAATGGACCTTAGAATATATTATATATACAATATATATTGCATGGTTGTTTGCCTTTTGGTTTGTCTGTCAGCAGGATTTCAGAAAAAGCATATTGGACTGGATTTCCTGAAACTTGATGGGAAAGTGTCCAATAGGCCAAGAAAGAACCAATGAAATGTTGTAAAAGATCCAAATGATAGGACAAAAGCGCACGTTATGTTTCACTTTCAATAACACTGCAACAATAGGGATTGTGCTGCATTGACGTGGTGTTGGAACAACTGGAAGAATTGGTTCCATCCTGGGAAAATGTACAGAAACAGATATGTTGTTTTAATGCCCTGAGCAATAAAAAGCAACATCCTTCCTTATGAACTCACCAAAGAAAATAGCGTCCATAACTTTGGGAATGGTACCATCCTAGGAGCATCAAAAGGGATATTTAAATAATCTGCTGCTGTGTTTTTAACAGTTGTTCAATAAGAATGTCAATATTTTCCACTATTTGTAAACATTGAAAAGGTTGTTAGCCTAGCACAAAATAAAACCAATTGGAAACAGTAGGATAACGGTTATGTTTGCTCTGCAAAGGTGCTTTTCCAAAAATCACTGCTTTTTTAAAATATCTATAGGCCTACTGTTTTTTGTGTTGAGCAAACCTCAACACATCCTGGACTCAAAACTTAGAATAAAAATGCAGGCTTAAGTGAATTGGAGGTCTCTCCTCTTCGTGTACCATTAATAGATATATATTTTCTTAATATCATTTTGTTGCTATGTGTATGGCAAGTAATACCAAAATGTGGCCTTGTACATCATCTTGGTCCAGTTTTGACATCTTTGCTGAGTCCATTTGTCTTATGGCTGCCGCAGGTAAGTTGTGCGGCTTGTTGATCAGGAATTATTCTGTTTTATTTTTGTCTAACATTTAAATTATTCCCAACATTGTTTCTGCTTGTAATCATGATCATTTTATAAACCCCAAGTTGATGTGATGCTTATATTATAAAATCCTTTTCTCTGTCTCTAGTTTGCCTATTGCTGACCTGATGGAGACGTGCATTGATGATGTCCTCCGGCCTCCTGCCGTCCCCACGGTGACGGCTACAGACGAGGCCGGAGCAAGCGGCTCCTACGCCCCCCCCAGTACCACCGGGGAGGATCCTCTGGGTCTCGCTGGTGAGCGTACAGAAAAACCACAAAGTAAATTCAGACCGTCAAAGAAAATGTATTGGAAAATGTTTTACTCAGAAATGTCAAAATAATTAAAATCTTGTCTTGCAAGCCTCTCAAATAAACCACTTTATTAGACCCTCCAGAAAAACGCCGGCTAAAATCCTTGATTATGCGATTAAACATGCGGGGTTTTTATGTGATTTTATGCGGTGAAATTGCGGGAAGTTGCGAAAAATAATAGATTTTTTTTTATATATTGAGCTGTCTTATTTATTCTCTCTCTCACACACAACCTGCCACTAACGTTAAACCCCTTTACTATTCAATTAAACACATTCTATGTTTATTTATTGTAAAAGCAATGGGGCTATTTTAATCACACTCTCTCTCACACACACACACACACCCCCCACACACACACTTCTCCGCCTCATTCTGTTTTCATTTACTCGTTCGTTATCTGACCATCTGACCAGCTTCAATCTTGTAGGCTACTCACTTTGTTTCTTGTAGCCCTCGAAAGGGTTTTGGAGGTTGATGCCTCGGTGAACGTGGGTTGTTTGGCTCTTCTTGCCGCAAGCAGCAGAAAGGATTTTCGAATGTTTGAATGAATCAAAGGTGGGTCGTCACCGTCGATTTTCTCTAAGACGGTATGCCTCAACACACAGTTGCACGGGGGTGCCAGGAATAGTTTCCCCCACTTTCTTGAAATACATCGGGGTACTGCTTTGCCCGGTCATTAGCAGAAATGTTCGTCGTATGAGTTACACACGTTCACTCTACGGTGTTGTTTACCTTCTGTGATGCGCGAGCTGATGACATCACGTCATCATCATCATCACTACTTCACGTCAAGACGAGTTAACTTTTTTTTTCTCTCAACTTTGTGTGGAAAAATGTGAGGATTATGCGGCCGTTTGATAAATATGCCGCCTTTTAAAAATCTGCGCCATTTTGCTGATTATGCGGTAAATTCTGCGATCGCAGAATCGCGTTTTTCTGGAGGGTCTACTTTATGTATGAAAAATGTGTTTCACAAGATAATACAGTGTAGTGACAATATGTCAGACTACGAGACACTGACACCACCACTTACTGTAGACTCACTCCCATCTTATTTTAATACATCACTGCTTCCCATTCTTCAGTTATTTAAAGAATTGTTTCACTAACATTAACTAAAGAAAGACCCCAGAGATGATGTGTTCAATGATACATAAAAACAATGAAGGAAAGTAAAGCAGAATACTGAAAAGAGGAACATTTAAATGTAATTTCCTTAGTTATGTGTATGTTTTATTGTGCATGCTCTGAAATATCCCAATGTAGTTGTATTAAGGTTAATGGCTGTGTTTCTCCAGAAGCAGCAGCCCGTCTGAAGCAGCTAGAGTTGGAGACCAGTCCGCTTCTCACTACCCCGAAAAATAACATCAATGTCAACATGACCATGAATAACCAGGTGGGTAATTGTTTAAAAAGTATTTGTGTATTTCCAACTTCAGCTAAACAATTTCGTTCTTCTAGATAAAGGCTGGGATTACAAACATGGAGAAATAACCGTACGGATATGATAGCATTTCTTCTGGTTTGTTTAGTTCTATTTTCCTCACGTATTTCTCTCTCATCTGAACAGGAGGATGTGGTGAAGCTGACGGAGAAGTGTGCTCTGAACAGCACAGGGAGCAGTCCTGCCGTCACTCCTCTGTGTGTCCCGGAGGAACTGAAGAGTAACATCCTGAAAGCCCAGGCCGAGGCTGCTGCCCTCAAGGTGAGGAACAGAGCTTCAATCAAAAGAAATGCTTTGTTTTATTAGAATTTGAACAACTGTCAGTCTAGAACAGGGGTCCGTTGTCTGCACTGTTAACCCTTTGGCTTATCATTTGAATTTAAGGATTAATTCAATCAACTGCACAGTATAAATCTTTTGTAAAGCACTGTAGCCTTGCCGTTTTCAGTAATGTTAGTCCTACAGTTCAGATGGTGCTAATATGATCGGTGAAAAGTCGAACTGAAGTGAGGGATATTATCCATGCTTATTTTCTTGTCATAACCTTTTGATATTTAGAGGGTACAATTATTTGAAGTGCCCTCTTTGTGCTGGGTACTTTCACTTGTAATGCTGTTAAATGGTTTTAAAACTAAAATCTGATACTTTCATGTATAAAATAATGGAATTAATCTAGGGCCTTGCTTTTCTAACTTTCAAAACAACCCTTTTAAGCTCAAACAGTGACTACTTTTACATGAACAGTATTATTTTCAATTTGAAAAGGATCATGCAAATAACATATTCAGTGTCTACTATGAAATATTGTGTATGAAGCATTTTCTGATCAAGGCTTGGGGTTTGCCAGATTTGGGTAATATTTTGTTTTTAAGAGCGTTCTTTGGGAATGTATACAACACATTTAGTACTTGTGTCTCGATCAAGAGTTTAATCGCAGTTTCCGACACACAGCCTCATGACTGTTTACCGCCAGCTCTTTTTGGTAAATACAATGTGGTAAATAAATATAACGCATACCTTATCAAGAAGGTGGTTGAAGGAATGAGGGAGGCTATGTGCACAATGACGATCCCGGTGGAAACGTTCAAGTGGGAATACAGCTTTACAGCTTAGTAGGATTATTGTGTTTTTTTAAATAAGGGCAAAACCCAGAATAATCTGTGCAAATATGAATGATGCATGTTTGTATTAGTCCATCTTTTTATCTTTCTACCTGTTCTTCTGTGTAGGGATCTTTGGAGGAACATATCGTCATTGTTGGAGAAAAAAACTGTAACGTGCAGGAGGCCTCGGTCAGGTATGAACATACACAGGAATCACTCATGAATCAAAGCACAGTCTATAAATCAAGATAGAATAAATCTACCTTTTTGATCTCACATTGGGAAATGGGTTATGATACAGCAGCAGCATGTTTATAAGGCACATTGCACATGAGTTTAAAATGCAATAATATTCAATAAGATCAAAAACACAAACACTAAATATATACATATCATAACAGCAGAAAGCTAAATATCTATAGAATACACAATGAAATATGTTAGAATACACTTTAATAGAACAACTTACTACGACAATAACATATGATACTTTATACACACCTATTAAAATAAAAAAATTGCAACTTGCATATTGTTGTTTTATCATAAGTGTCCAAATAATTATTAATAAAAAAATAATATGATGTATAAATACAAAATAAATCAATGAGCAGGTTTTTGCTTAGACCACCAAAACATATTCAGCCGTCGAACATGTTGTGCTTGGTTGTTTTTTAAAGTTTTTACAGAAAAACCTTCTCTCCTTTTTTAAAAATGGTCTTTACAGTGGAGTCAGCACAGAGCTTACATGGTCAGGAAGAAAGCCATTGTCAGTCGTGCTCCATTGTCTTGAAATTAGCCCTCCTCCTCCTCCTCCTCCTCCTCCTCCTCCATCTTCCTGAGTCATGCCAACTGTCAACACATTGTCTCAGCCAATCTCCGCACACCCTTCTGCTCGAGCTGATTATCTCCCTGAATATTCATGAGGATTATCGCTGTAGCTCAAAACATTACATCACCTGCAGCTCATTCTTACAAGCAAGGCTTTCATCGACTGTCAGGCAAATCCCTGTCGCCGGGTCGTATCCGAGGCAGACAGTGGAACACGCTGTTTCAATTTCAAAATACTTTGTAATGACGGAGGAAATGTTTGTTTTGACAGTTGCAAAATACAAAATAAATAATATTTAATAGAATAAATATTATTTAAACATAAGAAGTTAAAGAAAAATGTACATATTGTACTACAATATTAAACGACAATTAATATGTAAACATGTGTCAATTACATTTGATACAGTTGTGTATGTAAGTATTAATAAAGATATCAACACTTTTTCCCATTAACGCCTTTCAAATCTTGATTTATAAAGTCATTATTTATTATCTTAAGGATATTTTAATCAATGTAAAATGATTTATTATAACCTGTCATGTGAGTTTTCTTTAAATATATATACTGTATATTCTACTGAAATGTCACATTAATTAGACAAATAAAATATATCCTAAATGAAGTATGTGCCATCTATTTCCAGGTTGAAGGTGCGTACGGGACGGATGGGCAGTAACTCGTCTCTGACTGTCATCAGTCGCCCCGACAACCAGGACTCCTGGGACCTGCTCAAACCGGCCTCCTTGGGCTCATCAGCCAGGGCCAGGTCAGTCTGTGTGTCTGTGTGAAATAAAGGGAAAAGTTATTTCATATTTCCTGAAAAATTGAAACATAGTCCAAAAGATTTGGATGATTTCACACATTGATTTCACCCCCCCCCTGCCTGAAACACCTCCATTGGACTCCTTTGTTGACTTCCGTAACATGATGACATCCCTATGTAACACACGATTATTTTGGCTAGCTTTACAACAGATTGTACATGATAGACTAAGGGGCGGGACATCTCTCAGCCGTTGACCAATCAAAGCAGACTGAGCTCTGGTTTCAGACAGAGGGTGAAAAGAGGTGCTGCAGCACAGGCAGTATGAGAAAAATAAAGAGCTTTTTGAACATTAAAGCATGGAGACATGTCACAGGAGAGGAACAAAATACTGATATGAACCTGAAAATGAGCAGAAAAGGGTCCCTTTAACCTACTTTAGCTGTTGGTACCTTAAGAGTAGGAAGAAAGAAAAAGCTTGACCATTCAGATCTCAAGAAGGAAGAATAAAGGAGGATAGAAAGTAGCGGTATGAAGATGGGATTTAAAGAAAGAGATTACAGCCCCCACCTGCTTTGACTTCAATTGAATTATCTGAAGAGTATAACATACACAATCATCTGTTGTCTTCCAATGGGTTGCTTGGTCTTTGCTGACATCTGTTGGCGTGTTTGAGTATCTTTGTTGAGTCACATGACTTGAGTTCTGCCTGGATACTGCTGCCGTCTCCGCTCTAAGTGTTTACAGTAGGATGACACAAAATGCAGACGCTTGACCAGACAATTCACAAAAGGCCCCCGGGGCCCCGGGCTCATTGATGCGGTAAACGCTCGCTCTGTTCAGCCTCTTTATCTCTGTCCTACAGTCTGGAGAATATCCCCTCTGCTGTGCTGACACAATGAAGCCATTAATCAATAACTCAATCACACAGCATTCAATCAGGAAAGATAATCCCTTAACTATATTATCTAGCAAAATGTGATTCTACTGGGTTTTTTCAAAGCTTGAGGGACTTTAAATATGACTGTGTGGCTTGCTGTGAGGATTTTCTCTCTGGAGTGGAGCATAAATCTATAAGTCTGCTTATTCTTTCTCTCTTTTCATGTCCGTCAGTGTGGAGAGGCTGGCTGAAGACGTAAACCCCTCCGTCCCCAAGATGCCCTCTGAGCCTGTCTGCGAAGCCACGGCACCAAAGGTAAAACCATTATTAATAGTTGAATTATTTACTCTGGTGCGTTTACATTTTTTTACAATGGAAATAATAGCCATGAATCTTTGAATACATGCACACAGTGTTTACTGTTAGTGAAAGCTTGAGTATGAATGTTTAGTTAGATTTTCAATGGCAGTCAGTATCTAATTGAATATATTTAATAAGGGTACAGGTACATAGAGTTAAAATGTTTCATCTGACCCATTAGGCGCTTTCACACTGCAGTACTTTTCCCACTTTAGTTCCGATATAGTTCCGAAATGTCGCGTTCACACCAAAAAAATCCGGATGTAAAATTAGTTAATGAGAACCTTTTTACCCCCTTTTCCGTCCCTGCTAGAGAGCAGGGACTTTCGTGGGAGAAAGAGGTTCCTATGTCTGATTGGCTGGGCGGATTGCAAACCACGCTCCGTAAAACTCCCAAAAAGTTTTGTGAAGCCGCCATTTTATTATCCTCGCATTAGCATTATTAGCATTAGCCCAGCGCACAAACGCAGAGAGACTAACTTATGGCAACACAAAAGAAAACATGGGAGCGGTGGAGATGAGGAGGTGTCTGCGTTCTGTAGAAGCTGCTGGGAGTCCCAGTGTGAAAGCGCCTATTGTTTATTAAAGATGGACAAAAAGGTGACTTTGCCAGATAATCTTCAACGCTACAATACACTGTAAGGAGCTCCACAGTCCTACTATTCAATTCATTTTATTCCACTAGATTTGACCTTTAATTAAAAAATGTAAGGTAAAATCTTAAAACAATAATGGAAATATGCAAAATGACATACAGCAATAAAGCTTTAGAAACTGTTACCCAAACGCTAATCAGAAAGTATTATATTACTACTAAACAATCATTATTGCTAACACATCTAGAATTGTACATGTGTTGTATAGAACATATTAAAGGCTAAAAATATCTTAATAATGCAATCCTGAATAAAGAGTGTGGCACTTGTGTAATCTGAGGGAACATCTTATTAATAAAGATGTATTTTGCATGCCACATGTATAGCTCCTCTGCGAAACCAAATGTAAAAACATTGATTAATAAAAAACTTGTCTAAGTTTTCTGTTTTGGTTTGTATCATTGTGCAGGTTAAAGCAGACGAAGTTAACCTGCCAAGCTCCGCCCCTCTGTCTGACAACCTGATCGATTTCACCGATCCAACCCCTGTGGTAAGATGCACTTCTACCTCATGTAAAACTCCTACAAATAATAATATCCTTAACTCATGAAAAACATATTTGTGTATGAACCTTTTAAGATTCCAATGCTACCAGTTTTAAGTGCAAAAGTGTTTCTATAAGCCTTCTCCATCGCTTTTTTAAGACATGTAAAAGCTTCAGACATTAGCGAGCTGGGTATTTACTGACATTTATTCGCAACAAATCTCATAAGCTTGTTTTACCACAGATCATTTTTCTCACATATGTTCACCTGGAAACGTTGACTCATGTTGTGGTTTTGGACTCATTCCTGCACCATTCTAATAAATGTGAAAATATTTGAATTGTTTTTCAGTTGCCTTCAGTGCCGCCGCCCAAACCTGTCCTCACTCCTCGCTGGATCATCCCTACCACTGCTGTGAGTACCACTCTGATTTGAATCTGTCTAGCTTCTCTCCTGATCAACTGTCTGCCTTTATCCCCACAGGTTCTAATGAAGTTAAACATTTTCATGTTTATTGCATTTTGTTTAAATGTCCTGACGCTGGTGATTCATGACTCAGCGTTTATCTTCCACATGCACTTGCTTAGTCGCTGTTCTCATTGGCTGGTGTAGAGGCTCTGTAGAGAATGACCTCCTCCCTTCTCCCCCCCTCTAATGCAGCCTCCCGGCGTCTTTACTAACGGCCTGCTCGACCTTGACCCCCCCGCTAAGGTCAACCCTCCTCTCCCCCCAGATGTGGGAGCAGCTTTCACCCCAGCCCTCCCCCCACGTAACAACGCCTCGGCCAGGTAAAACTCTTCACATTCAAACCCAAGTCGAGTTTGTTTTTAGAGTACATTTGGTCGCATGCTGCCCCCTGCTGGAGTCACTCTGCTACAGGAGGTCAGCTCTTCACTGAAGTTCTGCTTGGTCTCTGCTACTCTGAGAAATCATGAGCTCACTTAATGGCTTCTGGCAGTAAAACACAACTAGTAACTCAAACTGAATAGTGGTGAAATGTACATTTACTCAAGGACTGTATTCAAGCATAGTGTATTTAAAGGTTATGCGACTTAATATTCCACTACATTTATTTGACAGCTTTAGTAGCGAGTTACTTTACATTTTGAGATTATTAAATATTACAAAAAAACATTAATTATTTAATAAACTGACATAATTATATGTTCAAATCCAGCTACAGTTTACGTAAGTAATTTGAATACCAGCTGTAATGGACACATAATTGCATCCACAATCATCATCTATTAATTGATATACTGTATACAATTCTGTAATGACCTCTTGTGCTTTTGATATACAACTATATCCCCCCCCCGCAGCACTATCGGAAAGCCGCCAGCCTCGGAGGATGGAGCCAAACTCAGAGGTCTCCTGACCACTGAGCTCTGAGGGAGAAAACCAGGAGCAGCCATCACAACGTTCAAGCAAACTGGATCAGATGTGTTGCGGGCTAAAAGGAGAGTGAACACAGGGGGAGGCAAACCCTTCACTTAACACAGAAAAGAATAGAGATGTGACAGATGTTCACAATAACACGACACCAAGCCCAGTAAAACGACATTTTGCACCAGTATTAACATATAGAGAACACTTATTGTGTGAACTGCACGCTGTCAGTGCTTAAATCTCATGACACTGTAAGGTACATAAGGCTCAAAGGGTAAGTTGTTCCCCCCCCCCCCCCTTTTTTTGAGTCATGCTGTTTATTACTGGTGGATCCCTGCTACAGTGAGATCTTCTGAACACACAGCTTTAGAGCTGGAGAACACTGGATGAAGGACTGACATCTATAAAAAAGAAAGACTTTAAATGTTGATCCCAAGAGATTTAAACGCCTGGACTCTTAACATGATGGATATGATACTGTTCTGTCCTTGTAGCAATTTGTTGTTTTTAATCCCACTCAATACTACACTTGCTCTGTTGGTAGCCACTGGATGTACTGTAAGAACTTCACTGGATTATTTTTGCCACACTGTACCTTGAAACTATTTGTTTTGATGACACTAGAGGTGACCACTTTAATTTTTCAACGGTTTTCATTATCCTGCTTTTTTGTCTGTTTTTATGTTTTTGCCCATCACAGTGCTTCTTATATATTTCCGTAGCAGCATGAGGACGTTTCGAACATCACTAACAAAATGTTTTTCTGTGTCACTTTCTGGACCTTATCAGGACTTTGAGTGAAAGTTGGAGATGAAATATGATCTTATACTTGGTGTCCTTGAAAGCACCGCCTCGACCTGTGATAGTTTTTCACTCATGATTATTTCTATGTTGGCAATGTGAAAGCAGGAGTGGTTCGGTTGCTGTGGAAACCTTTGAATCTACTGTGATCCCAGCTGGATTACCAAACTGGAAATCTTAATTATTATAACACTGGATTTAGAGCAGCGTATTCTGGCCTTTTTATAGGAAAATAATGATTACAAGCTGAGGGAGGAGGCGTGATATTCCAGGATGTATTATCTGACATTAAAAGGGTTAGTTTACGAGAAAAAAACTCACTAATATAAGAAGAAAAACAAATAATCTATGAAAATCCAGTCAGAAAAGTGAAGGAAAACCTTTCAAAGTGACATAAAACACAATATTTAGCTGTTTCTTTCACATCATTTCTTTACATTTTGAGATTTTCTGTGACATTATAATTATAATCTCTTAATCATTTCCCTCAGAATAACGCCCTCTCCTTCTGCTCTGTATTTTTGTTTAGGTTGGCCTTTCTATACCCTGTTGTAACACATCTCTCCCGGTATTAACGTGCTGTAGTCATGGCCCCGCCTTATGGAAATGAATGTATTCAGAAAATCTGGAAAAGACATAGTATGAAAACGTGTTTATCTAAACATGTGCTGACCGTTTATACCCGACGGAAATCATGTGAAATCTCTTAAAAGCTGGTTTTATAAATGTGAAATTGAGGCCTACATTTTCTCAGTTATTAATGAAGTATATCACATTTACTTTTTTTTGTTTTATCTCAGTCCCCGTTACATATTACCCACCCAGTCTGGACCCTCTTTGAAATGATCTCTGAAAGGGACGTCATGAGTGTTTTTACAATGTCTTCTTAGCAGTGAGTTATTTATGCTACTCCTCAGTGTAATTGTTCAAATATGACATGTTGTCCAAAAGTGTTGTAGCGTACAGTGATTATGTATTGTCAGTATTATGACATCAGCTGGCTGTAGATACGAAGTAGATTTATATATATTTTTTGAAAATGATGTTGGCAGTATACACACTGAGCAGAACTCTGCATTGTTGTATTTTCTAATTGAAGTAGGGAACATATTACTGACTGGAAAACAAATAGTGACATCTCAAATGCAATTTTATATAAACTTTTATTATTTTTTTCTGGAATACCTGATCATAATTCAGTAAAGCTTTGCTACAGTAGAAGCCAATTGTTCTTGATTATTTTATTACTGTTGAAATGATTTGCTTATCAGTGATTACATTTGGATTGATGCGAGACTACACAATCTGATTCGCTGTCTGCTGGGCCAGATGTGATCTCTGTCATGTTAGACCAGCTGAAACAATGACCCGGATCACTGAGGGGGAAACATCTGATTTCCTAGTCCTGTTTAAATTGCCTTGCTCTGGAAAGCTATTGTATCGTTATCAGAAGTTGAGCAATAACAACTGACTGTTTCATATAGTAACAAAGGGCTTTTCTTTCCCTCGCAGCCCCCCTTACTTTTTTGAAGAGTAATCCCCAAAACAATGAACATAGTTTTCTGAGTTCTTGTTTACTTACAGAGGAAACGTATACTTCTTATACTCCCAGGTCCGAGGACATCATTTATTAAGATAATTACATTAACAACAGGCTCATGTCAAACCATTATTCTCTCCATTAGTCGAAACATCCAATCTCTTTCAGTTATTGCTTATTGGTTGACAGAATGGAGGGCACTACAGAACAATTTGAGACCCTTTGCCTTTTATTAGTTAATGAACAGTAGAATTCACTGCTCCAACTGTTTGTAGTTTGTACAGTGTGAAATGTTTTGTATTTAAATCGCCCCCCAGACTTTTCTTTACAGATACACTCTGATTACATGTTTGTGTTTCAATTAAGTATTTGTACAGTGTACAATTCAGTGTACACAACTCTCCAATCTATGTCGTGAAGCTGGTAAGAGTCTACAATAAGTACTGTACTCCTTTTTTACATACTTTTATACAGTATCAGACTTTTTAACAACAGACATTTCATTTCTCATGATAGAATGAGCACAGACTTGCTAATAACATTGTCTGTAGTTTGTTGAATGCACAGGAGCCGGACCCTGAAGCTGAAGCAGCTGAATGGACAGCGGTAATGTCAAAATGTCTTCATTGAGAAAGACCATTCGCACTACGTGGAGACCAAAAACGTTTATATCTTGTAATATATACTTCGTAATACTAGAGTTAAAAGTTTAAATACATGAAATGTGTCTGCTGAATTATGGGTATGTTTAACAGTCCTTTAAATCTATATTGATGATGACATAATGTCAGACACACTGACAACTTAACCAGAGGTGGGGTAAGTACTCAGATCTTGTACTTAAGTCAAAGTAGAAATAACAGAGTGTAGGAATACTCTGTTACAAGTAAAAGTCCTGCATTCAAAATGTCACTCAAGTAAAAGTACAAAGGTATTGGCATCAAAGTACCAAAAGGAAAATAAGTCATTATGCAGATTGGTCCATCTGAGAATAATATTTGTTTTGATTATAATGATTGATCATTAAAGTGTTCTCAAAGGTGGTAAAGGTGCTGCTAGCTTGAATGACTTTATATACTGCAGGGTAGCTTGTGAATTTACTCCAGGTGGAACTAGTCTGATTTAGGTGTTATGTATATTTCACATCATTAACCCAAATCTGTTAAGTAACTAAAGGTATTAAATAAATGTAGTGGAGTAAAAGTACAACGTAGCATATCATGGAAAGGATCAAGTAAAGTACAAGAATCTCAGAATGATACTTAAAGGTGGGTAATTATGAAGAAACCAGCTCGAGTGCGCTAGAATTTGAAAATACACAACCGGAAAAAATCTGCCACTTCCTTACAGAGCCCCTCCTCCAACACACACGAACGTGCACATGACCAATGAGGGCACGAGATAAATTTGTGCACAGATGGAAAGCTGACAGGCAGGTAGGCCATCCAGTTATTTTAGCCGGGCCGGCTCATATGATTGGTCGTGCTTTTTACAGTACTACGGCTTCCACAGATGACATTTTTTAATGTTTTTATTGTCAAAGCATTCATTGCTATCGGGATGTTAAGAGCATTCCATGGAATATAACAAAAAGTGTTTCTGAAGTAAATTACATACCCCATCTTTAAGCACAGTACTTGAGTAAATGTTACTTCCCACATCTGAATTGAACCGTAGCCTAAAGGGGGCAAAAATAGTGAATCCAAAGGCCTTTTGAACTGTAATTCTGGTTAGTGGACCAATATCTTGGATTATATATCCGTACTCTTTCTGTTGGTCTCTTATATCAGCTCTGTTAACAGTCTCTAATGCATGTTAGCCAATCCACCACTGGGGGGCAGCACAGCACCATATTTGACCGTCTAGCCTCAGATCTCCTCCATGCTCTTCCTGCAGAAATGCTAATATCTAAATTATGAGGATTAGATACTTTATAATCAAAGCAATCTGAAAAGAAAACATTCAAAGACGTTGCTATTGATTTAATTTTTTTTTTTTTAAATCTTATTAATCAAGGGGCATCATTAGCTTAGACCTTATACGACTACAACACATTGACTTTCCTAACAAAGGCAACTTGTTCTAAAGGAAGTGTTTGCTGTTTTATTCAATTTGTCTCTTTTTTACCGCTTTATTCTCTTGAATAATCCAGAGGGGCTCAGTAGAAGTGGGTCTTTTTTTTAATAACAATATGTAATTATCCTTTTCCTATTATATATTATAAAACTCTTCACAAATCCAACCAAAGATTTGAACAGGATTTCAGTGATTATTTCCCCCTGGATAAACGTTGCCATGTCTATAAATGAAATTATAATATCTTCAGGTTCAAGAGTAGTGTCTCATTTGCTCAGGGAGTCTGTTAATCTGATTGGATATGAGCAATGTCACAGCACTTATTTGTGAGAGTGGATTGGTATTAGCTTGTTGAACAAATATCGAGGCTCACACACTTCTCTTCTGGGCAGTTAAAGCCCCCCCCCCTCCCACACACACGCTTTTTTTGGACAAATGAACTGTCCATCATCTCTTCAGCTGCTTCATTAATGAAAACACAACACATCATGTGACTTTGAGGCAATGTGCTGTAAGTAGCATGTGCTAGTGCTAATGGGGATTATAATACAGACAAAATAAAGAAATTTAGTTTACTATGGACCGCAGTTTGGAGGCTGTTGCTTTTTTTTGTTAAAGACAGTAAACTGGATTTCATCATGTGGGAATACCTTCAATCAGTACCAGGCATAAAGAGCAAAGACTCTGCTGTTATTTGTCAATGGCCATATTGGTTTACATTTCAAAATGCAGCGATCTGAAAGTGATTGACTGCGACTGGTGTGCGCTACAGAGCAACACAGATCTTGAGCATTATTAACCAGCGGACAGCCCAATAACTCAGCCAGGACCGCTCCCTCAGCAGATGGGCCGCCCTCACCCACCTCCAGATGAATAATTTATTAGGTACATGGACCTTATGCCAGATCATGATTGCTTAAGCATGCTCACAGCTCCGGGTGGATCCTGGAGATTTGGCTCCAGGCCCGTTCTCCGGATGTCCCCAGATCAGATCCCACTAAAGCTAACATTATGTCCTTGATTACATTTATATATTCTTAACGTGATATCAGTGCAGTTTTTCTGAACTCTCACCTCGAAATCTTTGAATGAAAATAGGTTTGGTCTGACCTAAAGGGTAAGCATGCTAACAGTTGTTGCCTGTGGCTGGATAAAGATGGGGGGCTTAAGTCAGTATTCTCAATGAATACCCCCCATGTGGATGTCGTGTTTGTAGCCAGCTAGTTTTTAGCTAACCTCTGTTCAGAAGGTACATTGGTCTGCAGGGGTGAATAATCACAGACTTCTAAAAACGGTACAGTGATAAGGTTTGCATCCCTTTCTGTCTGATATCACTTTAAGCAGGAACGTTTGAATAACTTTTGCTTAAGATAAGTTTTCCAAATGAATCTCAGATCCTAGTTTTGAACAGAAACCTGCATCAAGCAGGTTTGGTTCCAATTAAAACACTTTTTTCTCATTCTGGCAAAAACCCAGATGCTCTACAACTGCTTCTGCATCTGTCTGTACTGCTTTCTCTGTTCTGATGAAGTTTCCTGTTTCTGCAGAATAAACTAACCTCAATGGAAAAGTTTCATCCAGCAAAAGATGAACAAATGGTGGCGCATCTGTACGGTGAGAGGCGACACCTTGAGATTCTGCTGTAGGCCTATGTGTGTGTCGAGCGGTAAAAAGACATTCTCTCTGCGTCTTTCCCTCTTTCTCTTACACACACACACACACACACACACACGCACACACACACAGATTCTCTCTGTCAGTCATTACAATAAAGGCCTTTGTGCTGTTTAGCGAGCTGTTGCAGGAGATAGCATTCTCTGACAGGGCATTTTGAAAAGAAGCTTATACATCTCAACTATCAGAATAGGTTTATAGCCTTGGCGTGTGAGCGATTGTGTCGTTGAGGGGAGTATTCATAGTGATGGCTTTGAAATGATAAAGACGTGAGTGGGCAGTAATAGATCCCTAAAGGGCTGCATTGTGTCAGTAAGGGTGCAGTTTATACTTTTGGATGTGTGTGCCAGGTGAGGTTTTTCATTTTCTTTTTTATCAGGTGTGCTACGGAAGTCCTTGAGACAAAAATAATCTGGTGATCCATTTGCTAAATCTGATCTAAAACGTTTTTTCTCCTGTGTTGATGGCTTCAGAACAGGTGAAAGAAATGTTTTGACAGGTACATTTACATTTTTTAACAGGAATTGATTTGAAGCGTTTGTTGTTGTAATACCCAGTTCTTCACAAGACGATGAAGTGCACGACTGCCTCATCATTCTTTTTTTCTACCAAGACGACATTTTTTTAACAAAAGTGTTTTTTCTAACTTATCTAGGCTTCTGTTTATTCAGTAAACTTAAGACCCCTGAATAACGTGAGGTGTGATTAGTCAATCGCATAGAGATGTCCCGCCCCTTAGCCTATCACATACAATGTGTTGCAGCACTAGCCAATAGGAGTGTGAGTGTTACATAGTGATATACCTCATTCACACCAACGGTGTTTCAGGGCCGGTTCGGAGCTGGAGCTTGAAAAGCACCGGGTTTTCCTATTCACACCGCAGC